AGGTCAAAAGGTAAGTGAGTGTGTTAGCATGGTGCGGTCTGCAAGACTTGGGTCATTCTCGAGTTTCTGCAGTGCGGCTTGTACAGCGGCATCGATAGGAATGTTGGTAAACAGCAATTCTACGTTGAAAGATACCATTTTTTTCAGGCCTTATTTTCACTACTGCCTAAGTAGTGCACATCACTGCGAAGATCACTTTCATTCATACCATGATCTCGTTGTCTAAGATTGTCTCATTGCTAATGGTGGATACAAATCACCGAGTGAACAGCAAGGATCGAAATGCAGCAATCAGAGCTGTTGAAAAACAACTAATCACAGCAGAGAATCATGCTTTATAAGATCACACATGACTGTCAACCTCATCACCTGAAGAACAGTAGCAGTATGCAGTCGAAACGACGCAATCTACATCACATGTGACTACATTGTGAGACAAACGAAAAGCTTAGCTTTTATTGTCATTCACCACGATGAATAACCACGACCTTTTCTACTAAATAAGTCAAATGAAGTTCAACGGTTGCTCTGACTTAAACAGGTCAACAAGACAAAATGCATCACTAGCTGAAATGGTTCAACTGGGCAAAATGCATAAATAGGTTTGATGGTTCAACTCGTTAAATGTCAATCTAGTGATAACAGTTAAACTGCACAGACTGCCTTCATCACTGCAAGTAGTTCAGATGGTCAAACTAAGTTAGATGGTTCCACTGAACAAAATGCATAACTAGCCTAATTGGTTCCACTGTACATTCTGGAAAGTCTACCTTAGATGGCTCAACCACAATCTATCTTGATTAGTTAAAGTAGTTCAACTGGACAAACTAGCGTAAGTGCTTTAACTGGACAAAATGCATAACTTGCCTGATAGCATTAACAGCACAAACTACAAAATCTAGCTAAATTGAATACACTCGTTAATTAGTCTATACTCAAAGTAGCGGAAACAGTTAAACTGCACCAGTTGCAAAATTTATCTTAATTGGTTAAGGTAGTTCAGATGGTCGTACTAACTTTGGTGGTTCAACCAGACAAAATGCACAACTAGCTTAAATGGTTGGGCTGGCTAAGAAGTTAAAAACTGCATAATCTTTCTCAACTGGTTGAAGTAGTTCAAATGGCCAAACTACTTTCTATTGAAGAACAGCATAAAATGCAGAATCTGCAGAAGCTGTATTGTTTCAAGTGGTAAAAATGATCAATGTTCAGACAGTTAAATAGTCAAAACCAGCAAAGAATCTTAACTACTTAAACTGCACAATCTATCTCAATTTGCCGCCGTAGTCTAAATGGTCAAAATAGCTCAAAAAGTTTAATCGAACAAAATGCTCAACTGGCTCAAATGAGTTGCAGGTCATACTAGCAACGACAATTCTACTGCACAAAAAGCGCAATCTGTCTTATTTGGTTACAGTCGTTCAGATGGTAATATTAGCTTCAATGGTTTGACCAGACAAGATACATAACGGCTCAAAAACAAGTTAAAATGATTAAATAGTCAACTGTGCGAAAACAGTTCAACTCAAACATATTGGACAAGGCGACATGATTGGTTGAAGTACTTCAAAGGATCAAAATAGCTACAATGAATCAACTAGGCAGACCGAACAAGCTAACTGAAACGGTATAAGTCAAACTACCATAATTGGTTGAGGTGGTTCAATAGTCAATTTAGCAAAGACAGTAAAATTGCACCAGTTGCAGCCAACATTAAACTCTTCAACCAGACAAAATGCATAAGTAGCTTAAATGAATCAATGGTGCAAACTAAACAAGCTTTGAGTGTGGATGTCTTGCATTCTGCAGCATACACCTTTATTGATATCTGACGGGCTATACCAGCAACTAAACTACTCGCTACATCAAGTTACAAGCTCAGATTTTACAGGTATGGTTGAGGATCTAGAACGTTCCGTGGCATTACAATAGATTCTATTCATATAATTACTGACCCTCATAAAATCCTATTGTTCTCTCTCAGCATTATATCGGCGATTTCAGCCTGAGAAAGTATTCATATTCAGTCAAGTCCAACTGTCTGAGGAAAACGGTGGCGGTCCTTTTTGGTAGCAGGGAAATTATCAGAGGTAATCCTAAACGCGCTAAAACGTTCAATATTGCAGTGGGCTGGCTGCACTGCAATATCTTTAATAATGCAGCCTGCTTCCAGCAATATTTTTAATATTGCTGCATGACTGTGGTATTTACTTCGTTACTTTTCCACTCAGTAATTTTTGAAAATTCGCGAATGTCCGCGCATAATTTATGATGAAGATCTGAAGTTAAAAAGTAAATGAATACACCATGAGAAGTACCATTCCAGGAGACGTACAGACGAAAACATTTTACAGTTTATTTAGGGCACATCTGACAATGACAGTCTTTCTCACTTGTAAGAAATAACAATTTTCGTACTGTGAGTACTAATTACAACTGACTGATTATAATCTTCGCTCTGGTTTTCGCCTAAAACCTTTTCGCTTAACCCCTGTAACCCTGTCTCTTCCCTTTGTCCATCATATTTTTGCTCAACATCATTGTTAAACAGTTTTTCATTTTTTTCCTTGACGTCTATTTCTGCCCTCTTAGGAGTCGCTCCCTGCAAGATTTCACTTGCTTTCCTTTTTTAAGTGTTGATGAGGTACACTTATACTCCCTAACCCCATCACATGATCGGTGACCAGTGGTTTCTACAATAACTTGTTCTGGCACACCACCTTCGTACAATCGTATGGCGCAACTTCGTCGAAGGGCAACGGCAGCGGCATTTTCCGACCTCTGGCTCTGCGTTATGAAAATGGCAGATTCGTCTTCCGAAGAATCCTCCATCAAGCTTCAAAACAGTAGCAACTCTTTGCTTTCCAACAAACAACTCAAATAACCAAGTGCATTGCGTTAATATACAATGCAAATTACGTTTGCATGAAATTCAATCACACACCTGAAAGATGTGGAAAGTTACATAATCTTTACAAGGATTTAACAATGACTAAATTCCGGGAAATGAAAAGGGTTATGTAATTTGTATAACTACTAGACAATACGTGCTAATTGCATTGTTGGAGAGAGAAAATAGTAGGAATTCATGAGAGTCAATGATTATATCATCTTTGCAAGTAGTTAACAATGGCTGAATTGGGGAATGAAAAAGGATTATGCAATTTGTATTATTACTGGACAATGCTTGCCAGTTGCATTGTTGGTGTACCAAAACATCAATATGAAGGGGCGACTGAAATCGTCGATGTAATGCAGAGAGAGAACAATAGGATTTTATGAGGGTCAATAATTATAATAGTTAATTACTTCGGTTCGCAGCATTATTGGGTATAATGCAGGCAGCTGAGGCCTGCGGCCTCAGCTGCCTGCATTATACCCAATAATGCTGCGAACCGAAGTAATTATCTATTAAATATTGATTCAGGGATGACTCAGCATGACACAGCTACTTCTAGAACATTCTTGACTGTCACACTACATCGTCTCTTCTTTACAAAGACTGACGAATAATTCATTAAAGAAATCACGAGAAATCACAATCACTCTCAGGTTATTTAAACAGAACAAAGTCTTTATACTTTGAGTTTGACTTGACTTGTCTCTGTGATCTTGCGCCTTGTCGAATCGGTACTGGTTCTGATTTTGATTTATTTTTCATGTCACTAAACTACATTTGTCCTGTTTAATCATTGACTCCAGGTAGTTCTATGGACTTTGGCTGTGGGGCAGTTGACATGGCTGCTTCTGACTGTGTGGGTGGGCCCACAGGAAGGTCTAATGAAGGGTCTGTAACAACGACTTTGGGTTTTGTCATTTCTCTAGTTTTCCTGATACGACATCATTTCTTCTGAACTCACAGCCATCGGCCTTCACTATGTAGGATCTGTCAGATTCTCTTATGACCACACTTCCTTGTGTCCACAGGGGCGACACTGAGGCCTGATCTTGGCGTGAATACCATTTACTACAACAAGAGAGGGTGGTGGTTTTCCTTTCTTATCATGGTACCTCTTGTTCCGTTGCTTCTTCTTGACTGAAGCTCGTATGATGCTTGAGGCTGGTATCACGTGGGGCTCAAGTGACTCGGATTTCACTGGTATTACTGTTCTAGTTCTTCTGGAATTCAATTTCTCATTTGGTGATGCCAATTCATCAGGTGTACTCCTGTGTTCCAAAATAGCCATCCAGGGGTTGCGACTCATCTCGAGTATCCTCTTAGCTTATTTGACTGCAGCTTCCACCGTTCCATTTCCTTTTGGATTGTGTGGTGAAGATGTATAGTGATGAAAGTTCCAACTCTCTGAAAACTCGTTAAATTCCTTGCTAGCAAATTGAGGACCTTTGTCTGATATTACCACCTCAAGGACTCCCTGCCGGGCGAAAATCTTCTTCATCTGTAAGATTGTGGACTCAGCATAAGTATCATTCAATTGCTCTAAGTCCCAGTATTTGTGAGATGATCCACAACAACCAAGTAGAAGACTTTCTTCAAATTGAAAAGATCAGTACTGACTATTTGCCATCTTCTCTTTGGAATTGGCTGGCTCTGCATGGTTTCTCTAGGTTGATCTGGCTTAGCTTCCTGACATTATCGCGGAGATATTTGATATCATGATGAATCGATGGCCAATACAATGTATCTCTCGCGTGTCTCGTGCATTCCTCTGCTCCTGGGTGAGCGGATTGTGTTTTTTCATCTGTGGGCGCATAGCCGTGGGAATGAGCACTCTCGTTCCTCTGTAGGATTATTTCATCTTGAACTGCTAGTTCATCTCTATACAGCCAATAGTCTTAGACAGTGGGCGGTACTTGCATCTTGTCCTTAGGCCATCAATTCGCTATAATTTCAGCTAAAGTCATGACATTTCCATCTTTTGATTAAAGATTGAAGATTAAAGATTGTTGATGTCTTGCAAAAAGACACAGCCAAAGAGAGAGAAAAAATATCTGGAATATGAGAAGAGTTTTTATCACAAGCAACAACTGGGGGAAGAAAGATGGCGACTTACACGCATTGGTATGCGCTGCTACTTTTCGCTCTTTTCACTCTTGGAGTATTCGGTCCTGGTCTCGCATACTTATCTCCCACCAAATATATATGTGCTGGACCTAAGGACATGGGTAATGTTTCTACCCAGCTTCAGTTCTTTGGTTCTTTGAGCTCATGTCTGCATCGTCAAAATTACATGCGAAGAAGCAAGAAGGCATACCTCGGACGGCGTGCTTTGTACTATAGTAACAGTACTGCTACGACTCAGCTATTACTGTTGAAGCTATCTGGAAACGTGGAGTCTAATCCCGGCCCTCAGGGGCCTCAAGGAAGTTTTAATAATTCTTCTAAAACACTTTGTAGTAATTGCGCTAAAACCATGAGAAGGAACCAAAATGGCGTCCGCTGCTTGTCTTGCCCGGCAGTATTCCACATCAAATGTACGAAAATGAGCAAGAACGAGCTGTCCTGCTATCGGAGAGAAGGGATCTGGTATTGCTTTTCTTGTACGATGCCTCAGTTTTCTGACAGCTTCTTTGATGATCTCTCACCTTCGGCGGTATGCGATTCAAGCTCCACTGGCGAGGTCTTTGAGATTGCGGAGGAACATTCAGGAGACTCTGTTGACTGGTTTTTTAGGAACGTCAATGGTTACTACAAATCCAATCTGAAAATAGGTCATTTGAACATCAACTCTTTACAAAATAAGCTTGACGAGGTCAAGAATATTCTTAACAAGTGCCTATTTGACATTTTCTTTATTTTGGAGACAAAACTCGATGGTACAACCTCAGATAGTTTTCTCCAACAACCGGGATATCGCACTATTCGACGTGATCGCAAGAAAGGAGCTGGTGGCTTGATAGCTTTTGTACGGGAAGATATTCCTGTCTGTCGACGACGTAATCTGGAGCCCGAATCAGTCGAATCATTATGTCTTGATGTCATGGATTCTAAAAAGGCTCGCTTTATTGTGTGTGCGTGCTACAGATCACCTAAATTCTGTAAAATTACTGATTTCTTGTCGTCGCTTACATCAGCTATTGAACTTATGTATACAAGCCGTCAGGAAATATTATTGATTGGTGATTTTAATATCGACTTGCTTGTTGGGGAGCACGGTGTTGTTGCTGAGGATAACTCACTCATGGACCTTTGTGATAGGTTCTGTTTGCAAAACCAAATTAGTGAACCGACAAGGGTGACTGAAAAAACAAAGTCTTTACTCGATGTCATTCTCGCTAGCCATCCGGAACGATATGCAACTTGTGGTAATTTGCATATGGGTCTCAGTGATCACGATCTTATCTATGCGGTGCGAAAGAATAAATTACCTAGGGCTAAGGCACGTGAAATTGAATACAGAAGTATGCGACAATTCGACTTAGAAAAATTTTTAAATGACCTAAAAACTATTCCCTGGAGTTCCGCTTACATTTATGACGACGTTGATGATCTATGGCACCATTGGGCTCAATTGTACACTGAAGTGTTGGACAAACACGCACCAATAAAGAAAAAACGGGTCAGAGGTGATCAGTTGCCATGGATAACTCCATTAATTCAACGCGAAATCTCGCGTCGTAATCGACTGTTTAAGAAACATGCAAAGAGCCCAACAACAACCTCTTGGGAGGAATTCAAGAAACAGAGAAACAAGGTCACATCCCTGAAACGAAAAGGGTTGAAGGCGTTCTGCATGGAGGCATCGTCAAACACTAAACATCATGGTGAGTTTTGGAATAAGTTAAGACCTTTGTTGCCAAGCAAAGAAAAGAAGCAATCAAAGATAATTCTGATTGAGAATGAGCGTGTAATTACCGATTCATTAATGGTGGCTGAAATGTTTAACAACTACTTTTGCGAGGTGTCCAGGAGTGATGGTGACAGTAAGGAAATGGTTGAGTTTGTTGATCATCCTAGCGTTAAAGTCATTGCTGAGAAAACTTGTGATGATGTTTTTGACCTCGTCCCAGTTGATGTTGGCTACATAAGGAAAATTTTGGATTCTCTTGACCCTCGCAAGGCTGTTGGGTGCGATAAGATATCTCAGAGGCTACTTCGTTTATCCTCACCTGTTATTGCCGAGCCGGTTACCCGATTAATCAATTATTTTATCACCAACCGTCAATGGCCAATAGTTTGGAAAAGCAGCGACGTTGTTCCTGTTTTCAAGAAGGAAAGTATGACAGATAAGACCTGCTATCGTCCAGTCTCTGTTCTGACTTCCTTATCGAAATTATATGAGAAGGTATTGTTCGATCAAATCTATGAAGCCTTTCATTGGCGACTCTCACCGAACCTGTCTGGCTTTCTCAAGGGTCACTCGTGTTGCACGGCCTTATTGAAATTGACTGAAGATTGGAGAGCCTGTCTTGACAGAAGAGAAGCTGTTGCAGCGGTGGCTATCGACCTAAGTAAAGCTTTTGACTCTGTTTGTCACCCGCTTCTCCTAGCTAAATTAAAGGCATATGGTTTTACGCATGATGCGCTGGAAACTATGACCGCTTACCTTACTGGACGAAGACAGAGAGTCAAACTTGACGGTGTATATTCTTCATGGAGAACCGTTAAAACTGGTGTACCACAGGGGTCCCTGTTGGGTCCTCTCCTATTTAATTTGTATGTTAATGATCTTAATTATTTTATTACTAGTACGTCCTTGAGGCTATATGCTGACGACACTACTCATTACGCCTCTGATGTCTCACCAACAGTATTGCAGTATATAATTAACTCTGATCTGAGCGTTCTATCGAGATGGTTCTCAATGAATTTTTTACAGATTAATGCCGCCAAAACGCAAGCTATCGCTATTGGCCCGTCTTCATACCAATATGATTTCCATCTTAATGATTCTAATGTCCATACAAAGGACACACTCAAAATCCTTGGGGTGGTCCTAGATAGCAAATTAACATTTAAAGCGCACATAAAGCAACAGCTGAATAAGGGATGCGCAAAGGCTTCGGCTTTGCGGAGAATACGTAAGTTTATTTCAAAGGACGTGTTAGTTCGTTTATATAAGGCCTATGTCCTCCCTCATCTGGAGTACTGCAGTCCCCTTTTACTGGGAGTAGGTAACGCGGAGACTACAAAAATAGAGACAACTAATTACTTTATATTAAGAACTATATTAGGCTTCTCGAAGTCTGTGTCATACGACTTCCTCCTCAAGTTGGCCGACATTAAGTCTTTGGAGAATCGTAGGCAATTCCAATCGTTGGTTATGTTATATAAGTGCTTGTATGATAAGGGGGCTCCTTATATAAGTGATTTTTTTCATTTTAGAAATGTACCGTATAGTTTACGCGGGCTCAGTACAAGGCTAGATTTACCTCCTTTTAATCTTGAGTTTTTACATCGGTCTTTTTCATTTTTAGCTAGTAAACTTTGGAATGCGCTACCCCCTAGACTCAGAGAATCTCAAGATATTGCTTCATTTAAGCGTTCTCTTAAAGCCCACATGGCTTAATGGTAGTGATTGTAAATATCGTTATTGTTGTTAATATTGTTAATATTGTAACTTCTAATTGATAGCTCTTGTCCATGATTCTCGATCCTGTTTTTAGCTTTTTAATAGATTTACTTACTATTTGTATTCTTACAGAAATTATGCTTTATTTCTAATTGTACATACACGTACACGTTTTAACGAGAACTTCTGTACTCCTAGGTGTCACGTGTTTAAATAAAGGATTGATCTTCCTACATAACGGAAAAGTGGCAGTTCTGAAATCAGCTGAGTCAACTTGTTGAAGGCATCTCGGTGAACGTTTCATCAAATGAATTGGTTTTGCTCCTTGGTTAGGCTTCTGAGAGGCTCAGATACGTCGGACAGCTGAGGTAAAAAATTTGCCCAGATAATTGATCATTCCAAGTAGTCTTCTCACTTCAGTCTTACTGCATGGCCTCAGCATCTGACTGATGGCTTCAACTTTGGCTGTGTCTGGTAAAAAACCCTCAGAGGTCAATATACGACCACAGTACTTCAACTTCTGTGGTTTGAAAACGAACTTGTCCTTGTTCAGTTTGAAGTTTCGCTCCCTGCATCTTTGTAGCAACGCAATCAGATTTCTGTCATGGTCTGCCAAGGCCTCTTCATGAGTGTTTCCTACTCCAGTTACTAAAAGGTCATCAGCTATAGCAGTGACTCCTTCCAGGCCCTCAATGATTTTATTTATATGTCTCTGATATTCTACTTCGTCCTAAGCCACTTGCATCTACCAAGAGGAGTGTGAAATGTTAATTTGCTAGAGTCCTCATCGAGCCTCACTAGCCTGAACCCATCTTTAGCGTCCAGTACTGCGAAGACTTGCGCTTTAGCAAGCCTAGAGGTCACATCATCAATGGTTGGAAGGCAGAGCTTTGGTATTTTGATATGCTTGTTCAATTCTTTGGGATCCAGGGAAACACGTAGTTGGCCATTGCGCTTCCTCACATTTACTGCACTTCTCACCCAGTCTGTTGGCTCATCAACTTTCGCTACGTAGCCTTTCTGATCCATTTCATGAAGCTTCTTCTTGAGATTGTCTCTCAGTGCGACAGGAACGGTTCTAAGGGCATCTTGTTTCGGTACTGCTCCTTCTGTCAGTTCAATCTTATAATTTCCAATGTAGCCTAGGCCAGTGAATAAATCGTTGTGTTCTTGTAAAATAGTATCCTTAGCCAACCCTTTCACGTCAGAAACTGAGTTGACGAGTAGTTCTCTGTTAATAGACAGGAGTTCTAACTCCTCACATGTTTATTTTGATAACAGTGAACTTGGAGCATCATCAATCACTAGGAATTTTGCTCTGGCTATTTTTCATCCAATCTGGATGTCAAGGTAGACTTCACCTTGGGAAAGATACGTCCTCCATTGTACGCTTTCAAAATGGCACGAGTTTTCTTCAAGTCTGGTTTGTTTTGAATCTTCACAAAATCTTCCATTCTCGAACAATTTGCCTCTGATCCACTATCAATCTGCATGGTTACCTCAATCCAATTACTTGTCTGTCCACGTCTTAGCTGAGGTTCAATCATGTATTTAGAACGGCTGCTGTCGATGACTGAATACGTGCAGTAAACTTCATCATCAGTGATTGCTGGTTCGGCTTTATCAATTTGATGAATACCCCTCGTAAGTTTCTTGGAAACGCTCTTCACAGGTTTCTGTGTTCTCCTTTGAGATTCTTGATCTCGACTTCTGCTTATCTTAGCAAAATAGTTCTTCATGTTACACCTGCTGCCTTTTTTTTTCCATAACCCGGACACTAGCGCAAATTGTGGTTTGTTCCACAATATTTACACTGTTTCACCGTTTCTACTCGTTGTGTAAAATCTGGTTTCTTTCCTCAGTACTTGACAATGTGTACCGAAGTTTCTATTCCTCCATCAATCTTTTTCAGTGGATCGCTGGCTGTTTCCTGCTGCTCTAATTGTGTCTAAGGCTGTATTGAGAGCGAGAGCCTTCTCACGGAGTAGTCGTTTTCTGACTTCGTTGCTTTTGATTCCAGTGACCAGTCTGTCTCGAATCAGTTCGTCACACAGAGCACCATAAACACAGGTTGACGCTAGTTTTCGTAGTCTGTTCAGGTATTGATCGATCTTTTCATTTTCTTGGTTGGCTCTGTTGAACAGGTAACACTTAACAATAATATTCCTCTGTGGTTCAAAATGCTGCGTCAGGGCCTGCAAGAAACTATCAGGATCTGTGCGATCAGTTACAGGCAGATTTTTAGCTATTTGGAAAGTTTCTCTTGCTATAACTATCTTAAGAGTTTCCAAAATGACTGGTTTGGGTTTCTCATCAACTTCAGTTGCTATTTTATAACCAAGTCGCGCACTCAGACTTGCTTATAATACACAGCACATGTGCACTCATGCCACTTGACGTAGCCACCGTAAAAGGGTTTACATTTTCACTGGATGTAACCCTGTTTTTCAGCCTAAGCACGAATTTTCGTTTCCTCGATTGCTCAGAAGACGCTAAATGCACGTCAAATAGCATTTTGGGTTCTTGTTTTCGACCGTATTTTAAAGTGTTAATAATGACAATCATTACCGTTTTGCATTTCTCTCCCGCTTCCCGCCCCCTGTCCCCCCCTTCCCGCTATTCATGGGAAATTGACCATAATTAGAAAGTTGATTGCATGTGTCTCCAAAGAGGTCCAAAATGTTGATCTATCTTATTTGTGGAAGTGTGCACCGTTTAGTTTTATATAAAATAAGAACATGTTTCAAATGTTAGGCTAAAGAGGTTCTTGTACAGAGGGAATCTAATTAGCAAACTTAAGCCTAACAGGTTCTTAACAAGTAGGTTCTTACTTGTGGGTTTTTACTGTAAACCTACTCAAGTGCCTGCAACAATTACAAGCGTCTTTTTAAATTTTCTTTTTAGCACCGTAAAATCAGTGGCCTATTTAACATGAAAGGTCTATTTGAAGCCTCAGAATCTTCCTCCCCTCCCCTTTCAAATTTCTAAACATTTTATTTTCTGTGCTTCTTGGTATATCTTGCTCCGCATAGCAGACTACACTAGTTACAAAGCGGATTCTGCTTAGCAATATCTTGCAAAAGACGCTGAAAACATCCATTTGGATGAGTATCACCACACCACCTCCTCCACATAAATTTATGAAGGTATTCTATCAGTAAGTTAGGGTTTTGTATTGCCCTTCATTTTTTTAGCTTTTCTTTTGCTGTTGACTAATTGCTTTCTGCGTGTTGCGTGTGTACCCCAGTGACTGGATTGACGAATTGCAGGGAATGATTGACTGTTCTGTGATTCAAACCCAGTTGTCTCTGTATCTGGTGGTATGCTGCCCACTGGTTGGTGTGCAAAATTGAGCCGGGTTGTACTTGGCGTTGTATAATGCACAAGAGTGGCCGCATTACGTTGCCTTACGAGCTGTAGGTACGGGCAGGCTGGCACGTACTGTGTATCAAACAAGCCAAGTACCCATTTCTCTCTTCTAGGGTGGCATCCTCTAAGGAAACTGCGAAAGGAGCACAGTCTCATATGATTAACAAGATTTTTGGTAATGCACCACTTAACGATACCAGACAAGTGAATATTGAATTTTTGTGGGAGCTATCAAATAATTGTGAGCTGTTCTCTGTTTCCAAAAAAAGACCAAATGCAGTGTTATCCCTAACAGTCAACAACCATAGAATTTTCTGGTTAATAGTGTACCTGGCTGCCCGCTCCTTTTGTAAGACAATTTATTTTGGTCCTTAAAAAGAAATTAGTTATCATAATCATCGATACATAACTGTTCTGTTGTAGTTAACCGACATGAAAATGATCTGGTTGCTATAGTTAAGTGAAATAATAATACTACTACAGTAGACAAGAGCTTCTGAACAGAACGAATTTTTGTCATTGGGAATGAAAATTTGCCGGAGTTCCTCACCCTTACAACGTGATTTTCTTAGTTTGGGATTTGAAAGTTAGGAGAAATGTTTAAGGTTGATTAATACTTTATTGTCTTCTCTTGATTTAGGCAGGGTAGATTTGTCGATCGGGGTAAATTTGTCGACCTTTCACTTTTATTAATGGTAATAGAACCACATTTTTATTCCTTTACATTCATGGCACAAAAGTTTAGCAACAGTTTTGGATATATTGATGTGCGTTCAACCTATCAAATGAGCAGCCTACTGTGACAGTATCGGCTACTTACCAAATTTTTCAAACTGTCGGAAATGAGACTTAAGAATCTGCTGTGTTCCAAAACCTCGTTTTTATTTATAAAATCAACTTCATCTCTCTCTCTCTCTCTCTCTCTCTCTCTCTCTCTCTCTCTCTCTCTCTCTCACAATTTTCGTCTCACGCTCTGGACTCTCTCATTTTTAATATATAATATGATCCTATTGTTCAATCATCTGTCACTTATCACAAAAAATCAACCAGAAATCAATTAATGCTGAATAATCTCTCACACACTCCCCTGTTTTTTTTTTCAAAGGAGAAAAAACACTAGAATGGCACACTCGATCAAATTTGAAATTCAATGAACGAAACGGAAAGTTAGTCCAGTATATCAGTTCAGTGTTCCTAAATATCTCTAATCAGCATCAATGTTCGCATCTTGAATGCAATAACAAGCGGCTACCACTGCATCCCTCCCGGGCCCGAATGTCAGGGCTTCGGGGATGAGGTGTGGAGGAGCCTATACATTCTCCCGATCACAGGACAGCACCAGTGGGTAAAGGTGTTGTACCGCCCATTCAAGTGTTCCTTTCCCCGCTTGAAGTTTGGCAACTTGAACGACTCCGTCTAGTCCTAAAATCAGATCTTCTACGATTCCAATTTTCCATTTATTGCAATTTCGTTCCTTGCCCTTGATGGTGACCACCTCTCCTTTGGCTAAGGGCGTGGTTTGACCCTTGTGTTTCATCCAGTGTCATTCTCTCGACCCTCGTAAATATTTGTAGTCCACCTGGTCCACAAAGCGTGCTTGCACCTTCGCACATATTTAGCTCTTCTGT